CATTAGGGCTTTTGTATCTCTAGTATTTGGAAAAAAAAAATATGTCTTAGATGTTCCACTAATTCCCATATTCTTACGAATTGTAAACAACCACACGAAATAGTGTGCTTTAAATATGGAAAGAAAGGCATTCGGACTCCAGAGTGTCCAGTTTGTGATAAAAAAAAATCTAACCACAAAAGTAAATAATTTGGATTGGAGAACCGGTATTGTAACACTCTTTACAACGTTGCAAAGAATCAGACTGGAACGAATGACTTCATTTTATAACTAACTTCTCATCTAGATATTCCGGGTCGTAAATTTTGGGAATTGATCCATATTTGAAGTTTGAGTGAAAACCGCTGCAATATCAATCCTTTATTAATGGAATATTTACATAACTGGAATCGTATTATTTAGAAAGAAAGTGTCACTTTGCGTGATTATAATTTCATAAACCATATCACAAAGGGGCTCTTTTTAGTTTTAACCAAAATTCTATTGTCTATGGTACTCGCTACTGTACACAGAAGATGCGAGATCGTCTGCACGATCTTCGCACTTATACCGGTGAATTTTCAATCCTATTAGTGATGAAATCAAAATTCGTAAGTTCTAAGTGCGCTTATGCACAGGAAAATAATATTTTTTATTTTACCGTTCAACATGGTAGGTAATTCACAAACTTGCCTTCGACAATTAGCCATCAATATTGATAATTTACGATGACGATTAAACAGCTCAGCCGCAAATTTTGTCAACGTCCTCTCATCTCAACGGAGCGATAGTGACTAATTTGTGAAACAAATATATTCTTGAAGTTCCCGTGACATGCGACAGGAGATGTTGTCTTTTGCGCATTAAAAATGTCGTAAGTGCTAAATTCGTTTTAGCGGAATAACTATAAAATTAAGGGATTAAAAAAAAATCCGTAACGACATTAGTCGATCATGCATAAATATCATTAATTATCTAATTTTTGTCCTAATAACCCGTAGCATTTCGAGAATACATCGAAAAAATGTGAAAATTAGATGTGTTTTCGTGATTTTTATCTATCAAGGAAATTTCATTGTTTTACGTTTCTGATTACCGCCTGTGCTTGAATATATAGTGTAGTTACTCGTACAATATTTTATTTTTAACTTTAAAGAGGATTTATCCCTCTAAAATCAAATCGAAGATTAGTAATTTTTCCTCTCCCACTAAGTTCGCGGTCCGTTCCGCAATCACAGCGGCTTCGTGTCCGCAACCGCAGCGGCTACGTGCCCGCACAAACTTGCATCGTCGTGATTATTGAAATAAAACCTCTGTCCCGCAGTAACGACAGACGCGGATGGAAACCGCTCCGTGAATTGTTAACCTTATTGATCTTAAATTGACACTACTCAACGAGGGCTGTGGTTCTACCTAATCGATAGTCAGAAACCATGTGGCTGTTTTTAATAGTACAAATATTCAATTTTTCATACTATACCTACACTGGTACTGGTGTATTATTTAATTAATTTATTAATATAAATTATTATTACTTCCTTAATGGCGGCCACTAGGCTGGGGCCAGTGTCAGTTTTATAAGAATAATATAAAAATTATGGCGATCGTTGCCTGTGTCAATTTTCCATTACACGTTACCACTTTAGAAGATGGGAAAAAAAAATAAAGGAAAAGAGCTGCCCTAACTACAGAATGGACGTGCATATCTAACATTGACCTACCAACAAACGGACGTCGAGTCTAATTCAAAAACCACGAAAAAAATGTTCGAAGTTAACCTATACAAACGTAGTGACATATTAACGAAATATAAAAAACTAAAACATTTAATTTACATTGTAATGTCATTGCAGTACTGCCTAATTTTGCTTGTAACAATTTTAGGGCCCAAAAACACCTTATTCAGCTTCTACTTGAAACTTAACAAAATGCATGGTGCATTTTTAGCTTCGACTGAAAATTACTTGAACACAAGAGTAATGGAGTAGCCTTT